TCCACCTGCAAATATGACGAAGCTTCTGGAGATGCTGCAAGCCTTGGCGATATCCAAGGAGGATGTGACACGACGGGAGAAAGCGGCCCACGGAGAAAATGGGGCTGCGGGTGTGGAGCAGGAGAAGCCTGCAATGGTGAATGCAGTCGCTGCAGGGAGAGGCATGGGTGCATGCTTCCACTGCGGCAAGATGGGGCATAAGGCATTTGACTGCTATGATAACCCGAGGAGCCGCAACTACAATGGGAAAGGTGCTCCTGGTATGGGATGGAATGGAGTGCAGCAGAGTGGGGAAGGGGGTAGCAGAGGAGATAGTAGGCAGCAGAGGGGAAAGTTCTTTGGAGCTTGCCACCACTGCAAGAAGATAGGGCATAGAGCTATCGATTGCTACTCGAACCCCAACAGCCGGAGTTACAGGGGAACACAGCAGCAAGGTTCGGCACCGGCAAAGGCACATGCAGCTGAAGCAGAAAAGAGGGAAGCTGATGTTATTTTGGGTGGTGCACATAAGGCGAATGTTGCGCGTGCATCAGGGGTGTGCCTGATGGCAAAAGGGGATGGAGAAGCTGCATGGTATATGGACAGTGGGTGCACACAGCATATGACCAATCACAGTGAGTGGCTGAATGCTTTGAGGGCATCAAGTGTGCCGTATGTGCTTGTGGGAGATGATCGGAAATTGCTTGTGAAGGGAGAGGGAGATCTGATTTTGCAAGGGCAGTATGGGGAGTTGAAACTGGAGAATGTGCTGCTGGTTGATGGTCTGTCACTGAATTTGATCAGTCAGTCACAGCTTGACAACACTGGATGCAAGACATTCAGTAACAAGGGCAGCGTGTGGATGTTTGACCATGCGTGGAATGTGGTTGCTAAGGGCATGTTGAAGAATGGGTTGTATGAAATGCTGTTGAATGAGAAGGGCATGACAGCTGAGAAGGTTACCTACCAGCAGCCGACGGAGGAAGGGGTGCTGGCAAGGGAGGAGCTGCGGGCGAGCTTGAAAAGTGTACCTGTAGAGGAGCTGCGGAAGGAAGCGGTATCGATGGTGGCAGCAGCGGCTAAGGTAGACATGGAGACCCTGCATAGGAGGTTGGGACATGCAGGGATGGAGCGGATTAAGGAGTTAGTGCAGAAAGAAATGACAGTTGGAGTGGAACTGAAGGATGGGGATGGGAGCAAAGGGAAGTGTGACAAGTGTGTGGAGGGCAAAATCACCAAATCCCCCCATCCCAAGCATCAGGTGCAGGAGCCATATGGAGCGCTGGAGATAGTAGCAGCTGATGTGTGTGGGCCGCTGAGGGTGGCATCCAGGCACGGGAGCAAATACTTTGTCACCTTTACAGACTTAGGGACTAGGCACACATGGGTGACTGAGCTTAAGGATAAGACGGAGGTCTTCTCTAGTTTTCTGGACTGGATGGTGGAAGCAGAAAGGCAGAGTGGGAAGCAGCTGAAGGTGCTGAGAACTGACAATGGTGGGGAGTTTGTCAATGAGGAGTTCAACAGCTACTTGCGCTCCAAGGGGATTCTGAGGCAATTGACAGTGCCTTACACTCCACAGCACAACAGTATAGCGGAGAGGGTGAATAGGTCACTGCTGGACTGTGTAAGGACATTGCTAGCGGACAGCGGATTACCACTGAAGTTCTGGGGAGATGCCTTGGGGATGGCTTGTTGGGTTAAGAACAGGCTACCTACCAAGGGCTTGGCAGCAGATATGACCCCACATGAAGCATTCTATGGGAGGAAGCCGAATATGGGGTTGGCTCGCGTATGGGGCTGCATGGTGCAGTACAGGGAGCCAGCTGGACCAACCCATAAGCTACTACCTAGAAGTAAGTGGGGGCTTAACCTTGGGATGTGCATGGTGAGCAAAGGATGGGTGATCAAGGATGTGGAGATAGGGAAGGTGGTGGTGACCAGAGATGTGATATTCTATGAGAATGTCACCTACTTGAAGTGGAAAGGGGTGAGTTCGGAGATTGCAACGGCAGGGGAAGCAGCTAACCTAGAGAAGGTGGAAGGGCTGCTGGAGGAGACATCGATTGAAGGGATTGGAGATGAAGTAGAGGAGATTGCAGAAGAAGAAACACATACTTGGGTGTGGGAGCTTCCAGAGAAAATGGCTGCACAGGGGAGAAAGGAGATGGAGCAGCAGGAGATAGAGCCAGAGGAGAAGGATGCAACGACTGAGGTGGAGATGGCACCAAGGGAGAGTGAGCAGGGATCAACTGCACGAGATGGTCACGATCCATGGAAGCTGCTAGATAGTACAGACAGTCGTGAAGCAGAGAAGGAGATTGAGGAACTACTGGAGGATGGGGCAACAGCGATAGGGGTACTAGGACAGGACGAGCAAGAGGCAGCTGAGAAGGAGAACAGTGAGGTGGAGTCACCTGCTGAGGAGTTGGGGCGAGGGAAGAGGGAGAAGAAGAGAAACCCTAAGTACGTTCACTTGCTCATGACTCCATGGAAGAACGTGCATACCCATCTTCTCCTAACCATATCAGCAACTGCACTAGTATCACGGGCAAGACGGGAGGCGTATGGGCTGCCTAATGAGCCCTTAACAGTGGAAGAGGCCTTGACAGGACCACAAAAGGAGCAGTGGAGAGCTGCTATTCAGGAGGAGCTGGATACACTAGCAGAGAGGGGCACTTGGGAGTTAATGCCCATGCCAGAGGGAAGGAGTGCAGTCGGGGTGAAATGGGTCTTCAAGATTAAGACAGGAGACAAGGGGCAGCTGGAGCGGTTTAAGGCTAGGTTAGTGGCGAAGGGCTACACACAGGTAGAGGGGATCGACTACACCGATACTTATGCTCCTGTAAGCAAGCTGACAACTGCAAGGGCATTTCTCAAGGTAATAGCAGCAAGGAACTACTTTCTAGTGCAGCTGGACATCAAGAACGCTTTTCTGCATGGGGTAGTTAAGGAGGAGCTGTATATGGAGCAGCCACCAGGGTTTGAGGACGGCACTAACAAGAAGTGCAAGCTTATTAAAGCACTATACGGTCTGAAGCAGAGTCCCAGGGAGTGGAACAAGGTGATGGACGAGAGGCTGCTGAAAGGGGGATTTCATAAGAGTGAGTGTGACAGGGCATTCTACTGGAGGGGAGCTGGAAAGGAGAAGGTGTACCTACTGCTCTACGTGGATGATATTCTAGTGGCAGGGGCACTTCCAGGGGAGGTAGAAAAGGTGTGTGAGCACCTCGCTGAAGTGTTCCAAGTGAAGCAGATTCCGAGGACGACGCTGTTTCTGGGGATGAATCTGGAGAGGAACAGGGAAGAGAGGAAGCTGTTCTTATATCAGCAGAAGTACTGCAAGAGGGTGGAGCAGAAGTTTGGTCATGGCTATGCGAAAGCCATTACTACACCGCTAAGTGGAATGGCAGAAAGTGATAATGAGAGTGAAGAGGATGTGCTGAAGTGGGATGGTCAGGAGCGGGCGCTGCAGATGTACCAGTCTATGGTGGGACAAGTTATGTACCCAGTCTCATGCACCAAGGTTGACATGGCCTATGCAGCAAGCTACTTGGGGCAGCACGCACAGCAGGGGAGGAAATGGAGGGAGATGAGGCGGACATTAGATTACCTGCTGCAGCATCAGGATGAGGGTTTACTATTTGAAGGAGGAGAGGAGACATTGGAGCTGGTGGGGTATGCTGATGCCTCACATGCATCATGCAAGGAAACCAGGAGAGGGGCATATGGATATGTGTTCCTACTCGGAGGGACAGCTATTACGTGGCAAGCTAAGAAGCTGGCAGATATAGCACTTTCAAGTGCTGAAGCGGAGTACATGGCATTGTTCTTTGCATGCCAAGAGGGAGTGTGGTTGAGGAGGTTGCTGAACGAGTTTGAGATAGACGTGAAGGGGCCTACAGTGGTAAGGACGGATAGCAAGTCAGCTATGGACTTGGCAAAGAACGACAACTGGCACGGGAGGACTAAGCACATGGATGTGAAATATCACTGGGTGAGGGAGCAGTTAGAGAAGCAGCAGTTCAAGTTCGAGTTTGTGCGCACTGAGGAGCAGGCAGCTGATTTCTTGACCAAGGTGCTGCCAAGGGCCAACTTTGAGTACTGTAAGGAGAAGGTCGGGATACGTACCTTGAAGGACATGCAGGGGAGTGTGAAGGTAACTTAGAGGGTGTGGCTGACAGAACCACAGGGGAGGTTGTTGGATTGGTTCCGCCACCCACAACGGACTACTCGTGACTTGGGGTGACGAGGAGAGAAATCCGGACTTGGGGACGAGAAGGAACTAGGAAGCGGGTATTGCGTGAGCGTGAGGTGTACGGAAAGGAGAGAAGCAAGAGAGAAGGTTGAAGGAAAGAGTGATTGAGTGGAAGAAAGGAATGGAATTGACGAGAAACAGATTGACGTGGGGCAAAAGTTGGGTTTCGGACGGGGCGTGTTCAACAAGCATTCGGACTTCGGACCAGTGGCGTGTTCAGCAAGATAGTCGCGGTTGCGTGTGCGACTCGGCTTGACACGAGGCGCGCGAGTTACTCGCAGCGCACACGGCAGTTACGAAGCGCGAAATCGTTTGTACTTCCACTATAAATCTGTTTGAACATTTGTGCTTTGTATCTCATTGTTTCTAGTGGAAATTGCTGCCATTTCGTATTGACGATTAGCAGCTACTTTGAGATCACTTTTGGAGGCAAGGCCCTTGAGGCTATTTGCACAAGTATTTCCAAATACTTTTTCGCTGCGCCGGAGGCGATAGTCGCCTAGAGTCGTAAATCAAGCGCATTTCCTAACTATCTCCGAGTTAAAGACCTCAACTTAATTTGATGGCCGCGACTTATATACTTGGGGATTCGAGTTCGGACTCCTCTTGATATCTTTTGTGTACAATCCGTTATCCAGAGACAGGATCGACCGAAGAACAGGCACGTTACTACAAGTATTCGCTTATGGCCTATACACTACTGGTGCGGAATCTCTCAGCTGAAGAGCAGTTGGGAGTTCGGTGGTTCACGTGTACCGCTGGCATTCACGTGTAGTCAGCCCCGTGCCTCGTTTAGTCCTTCCTAACAAGCATCCCTCCTTAGCTCTGCCATCGCTCACGCGTCGCCTCTGGCCACATACTTATGGCTCCCAGGGCCTGGGATCCTGGCGTGCGCTCTTGCACTCTTAGAACTGGTTAGCTATCTTTCCTCACGGCCATGGCTCCTATCACCAGGAGTGGTCTTGCTGCGATTATAAAGGGCAGGCCACTTCGTAGTCAGACCCTCGACCGTTGGGTTTCACCTCCCGCTCCGACTGCTTCTCCCACACCATCCGCTCCTCCTGTGCCTCCCGCGCCTCCAGTGCCCCCTGCTCTTCCTCTGGCATTGTGCTTCCGTGTCGCCAACTTCCCCGAACCTGATGCCGATTTCGACGGCCTTGTCGAAGCGAAAGTGGATGCTGCGGATGCTGATGACGAGTCATGTGAGGAGCATGACGAGGCCGAGTGGGATGGTCCGGTCCCTGAATACCCCAGTGGAAGAAAGTCTCGCAAGGATTGGGAGCCAAGTCATGATGCTTCTTCCCCTTCCCCCCGCAGCCGTCCTACAAAGGGCCTCCGCCGTTCGCGCACAGTCAAAGAGAAGATCTCGTGGCTCGACTACATGGCTGCGCACGGTCTCTCCGTCCGTGTGACCACCAAGAAGGCCAACGCCCAGCCGGTTTGTACTTGCTAGTGGCTTCGGGATCGCCTCCATTTGGAGAAGGCAGATTTGTGCCGCAAATGCCTTCACGGCGCTGGTAGGCAGTCTCTCAACCCTGACATGGAGATTTGGGTCTATCGGAAGCTTCTTCATCATCACACTCGCGACCTTCTTGTCTCTGTCAGTCTTCTTCATCGCTGGAGCCTGAACTACATGGCCAAGAATCACCCTGCCATGGACTGGAAGGCCTCGTCGCACTGGTCTTAGAGGATGCGCGCCAAGTGGGGCTTGTCGGTCCGCGTGAAGACCAAAATTGGTCAGAAGCTTGCCGACGGTACGTAACGCATGGCATGTGTTCTGTCTTATGGTGCACGCGCAAGTAATCACTTCCTCTATTGTAATGTTAATGAGAATTGGTTATTGGGTCACACCATCCGTCCAAGATCCTGCTGCTACTAATCAGTCCCCCAATTGTTCCCACCCCCTCCCACCCGCCTTCAGACATCAAGCCGCTCGCGAAATCGTTATGGCGGTTTTGCCGCAAGAAGATTTTCAACCTTGCCATCCCTCTGCACATGATCGTCAACGCGGATCAGACCGCCCTCTTCCTGGAGATGCCGCAGGAGCGCATTGTCGACCACAAGGGGATTAAAACTGTGCACGTCCATACGACGGGCTACGAGAAGGAAAGAGTGACGGTCATGCTCGCATGCACCGCCACTGGAGCAAAGCTCCTCGCGTACATCATATTCAAGCGCAAGCATCCCTTGAAGATCCCCGTCCCCAACAGTAAGTCTTGGATTTGCAGGAATATACACACTTTCCTTCGTTTAACAGTGCGGTGTTTTGAATTCCAACTCGCTGATGTTCCTACCACGTATACTAACTTCACTCTACTCTCGGTCGATCTTTTGTGCTTGCAGATGTCGTCATCCGCGCGCATCCCAAGGGCTGGATGGACGAGAGGCTTGTCCAAGACTGGATCACGAAGGTCCTGGCCCTGCATGTCAAGCCGCCGCCGGGGAGGCTTCGCCCGCCAAGCATGCTGGTGCTCGACTACTATCGCGGGCACCTGACTGAGGGGATGAAGCAGACGATGCGCCTGTTCAAGATTATGCCGGCGGTCATTCCAGGGGGCTGTATTTCTGTATTGCAGCCGCTTGACGTGTGCATCAATCGGTCTTTCAAGGCTGGCGTCCGAATGGAGTACAACGAATGGTTCAGCAGAGTCAGCATCAACACCTTCACCCGCACGGGTAAGCTGCTGAATGAGCCCCACTCATCTCAACCCGTTTGTCTTATGCGTGCATGTCGGTTGATTCACATCCCGGCTTGCACGGCTCTACCGCACCACTTTCCATGGTTTAATTATGTATACCATGTGTATGAAATGCGCAGGGAATCTCAAGAAGCCCCCTCCCGAAGTGGTGATGCGCTGGGTCGGCAAATCCTGGGCCGTCGTCCCATGCGAGCTCATTCAGAAAAGCTTCAAGGTGTGCGGCATTTCCAACGCACTCGACGCCAGCGAGGACCATCTCATCCTCCACCAACTGAAGGAGCAGGCCCCCGATGAGGTAGACGTCAGCGACTGGGGCCCCTCGGTGCTGATGGGGACAACAGCACCATGCGCGATGAGGCAGAGGAGGATGAAGTCCTCCCCGAAGATGACAAGCTGCCCGAGGAAGATGCCGGTGAAGCAGACGTCGGGGGCCTGGACGACGACCCATTCAGCAACCGTGATCGTGCTCATGCTGAGATGCTGAACAAAGAGACTGTGCCAGAGGACGGCGAGAAGCTGCTTCCCCGCATGACTACAGCACAGCGCGTCTCTGCCCAGGTCGAGATTCCCCGCATGATAGTGACGGCGGCTACCCCGAAGAGCTGACGTGGGATTCAATGTTGGACTGGTGGATGTCTCGTTAGATAGTGCTTCTAGAGTCGTGTGTGGTTGCCAATAGTTATGTCCATGTAGTTTAGTCCTTAGGTCCATGCTTGTGTGCTTTTGCGTGCCTAATGGAACTGGCTAACTGTGGGTTGGGCGATTCGTTAAAAAAAAAACCAAGGGGGGTCGAAACCCGGATACACCAATAACAGGGGGTCCATATACTCAACGACCACAGTTAAACACCCCCCCGCCAAAAGTACCCACTGGCAGGCCTTCAGATTCGTTTTTTAGGCCACACTGATTGATCTGTGTTGATCTCAAAAAACACCCTAAAAATCAGTTTTTGGTAGTGGTTTTCTTACTGGTTGGCCCAAGTTCTTTCGTTTTCAAGGCCGATTCATTAGGGTCAGTATAAGAGAACACCCTGAAAAAAAGAAGCAAAATCAGCATAAAAAGCCTGATAATTATGGGCCTACCCACTGGGTTCACAATAAAACCGTACTTACTATCCGGGCGTTTACGGTACTTCTTCGTCAAGGACGAAATCTGTTAAGATAGGGGTAAGGTTAAGAGCTAGGCATAGGAAAGTAGCGAGAGGTTTAGGGCTAGGAGAAAATGTCGAGAGAGAAGAGAGTTGGACTAGAAGAGAGAGGATACAAGAAGGGAGTTGTACCATCTACAATAGGATCCAGTATATACAGTACACCTACCTGTCAACTTATACATATTATCTATGTAGAAGTTATAGGCTAGACTGAGGTATGCTTCTAGTGAGTACAACCAACTAGTATTTGTTCTAGGTTTCCACCTCTAGTAATCATTCGTTTCTACGTTCACATGGTATCACGCTTAGGTTAGGATCCCCCCGCCTACCGCTTCCGCCCGTCGCGCCTCCTAGGCCCCGTCGCGCCCCCTAGGCCCCGTCGCGCCCCCCCTGGGCCCCGTCGCGCTCGTTAGGCCCCGTCGCGCCCCCCCTGGGCCCCGTCGTGCCCGCTGGGCCCCGTCGCGCCTCCTAGGCCCCGTCGCGCTCCCCCTGGGCCCCGTCGCGCCCGCTGGGTCCCGTCGCGACCCCTAGGCCCTAACGCGCCCCCGCTGGGCCCCGTTGCGCCTCCTAGGCCCCGTCGCGCCCCCCATGGGCCCCGTCGAGCCCGCTGAGCCCCGTCGTGCCTCCTAGGCATCGTCGCGCCTCCTAAGCCCCGTCGCGTCCCCCCCCTCTGGGCCCCGTCGCGCCCGTTCGGCCCCGTCGCGCCCCTCCTAGGCCCCGTCGCGCCCGCTGGGCCCCTTCGCGCTTCCTAGGCCCCGTCGCGCCTGCTAGGCCCCGTCGCGCCCCCCCTGGGCCCCGTCGCGCCCGTTAGGCCCCGTCGCGGCCCCCCTGGGCCCCGTCGTGCCCGCTGGTCCCCGTCGCGCCTCCTCGGCCCCGTCGCGACCCCCCTGGGCCCCGTCGTGCCCGCAGGGCCCCGTCGCGCCCCTTAGGCCCCGTCGCGCCCGCTGGCCCCTGTCGCGCCTGCTGTTAGCGCTCGCCCGCCTGGCCTCCTCCTAGTGCCGCTCGGCCTCCTCCTAGTGCCGCCCGGCCTCCTCCTAGTGCCGCCCGGCCCCTTCCTAGCGCCGCCCGGCCTCTCCTCAGCGCTGCCCGGCCCCTCCTCGTGCCCGACCGGCCCCAGCAGCACCAGCCTGGCCCCTCCCAGCACCAGCCCGGCCCCAGAGCACCTGCCCGCCTCCCCTGCTCGGCCTGCCGTGTCCTCTCGGGCCCTGTGTCTTCTGCTTGCCTGCGCTGGGACGCCTAGCTGCTGCCCTACTGGAGAGTGCTGCCGCCGTGTCCCCGCGCCGCTGTGCTCCTGTGCCGCTGAGGAGCTGTGCTGCTGTGCCGCTGTGTCGCTGAGGAGCTGTGCCGCTGACCCTGCACGATGGCTGACTTTGTGCTCCGCCTGGACGCTGAGGGCCACGCGGTTGACTTCGCCGCCTGGCTCTCCGATCTTCGCCGCCAGCTTACAGGTCAGCGCCAGGATGGCCACTCTCTGGTTGTCCATGCTGATGGCTTGCTCCCCCGTCCCCCTGCACCTACTCCCCTCCCTGCTGACCCCTCCTCTGATGACCGTGAGGCTTTCTCTACTGCTGCGCTGGCCTGTGCGGTCTGGGACTCACGCGATGCAGTAGCTCAGGTTGCTATTAGTCACGCCCTCCCTGTGTCTGAGCGCTCGCGTTTTGCTACTGTTGAAACGGCCAAAGCTTATTTAGACGCCGTTATTGCTCGCTATTCCACCCCTGCCTCCGCTTCTGCTGGCCGCTTGCTCTTTCCGATGCTGTTCCCAGACCTGGCTGCCTTCCCTACTGTCGCAGATTTTGCCACTCATTTGCGTGCCCTAGAGACTCGCTATCGCACTGCCAGCACTGCTGCCCAGCTCACTGCGCTCCCCCCTCCTTTCTGCATGACGCTCTATTTTATCGCTATGCGCCTGCCAGACCGCCTCGCTAGTGCTCGCGACCACTTTCTTAGCCAGCACCCAGGTGACCTCACCCTGACCGCCTTTGTCGACACCCTCACTGAGATCGAGACTCGCCAGCGCACTATCGCTCAGTCGAGCGGTGCGCCGGCAGTCTCTATCTTTCACGGCTGTGCCCCATCCCAGTGCACGTTCACTGACGTTTCGGCTGCGGTCGCCACGGCGACCCCTCTTACCGAGACGGCTGCTGCTGTCCACCCGCAGCAGCGCTCGCGTCGCGGTGGCCGTGGCCGCCAGGGAGGTAGGGGTGGTGACGCAGGTGGTAGTGGTCGTGGTGGTGGTGACGGTAGTCCGCCTGAGGGGACTACCACCGGTGGGCAGGAGCAGCAGCCCCAGCAGCAGCAGGACCAGCCCCAGCCGCAGCCGCCGTCCCAGCAGCACCCGCCGCAGCCGTGGGCTCGTCTCCCGCCTGGTTGGCCCGGCACCTCCGGAGGCGGTGGCCGTGGTGGCGGCCCGCGCAGCTTGGCGTCTACCAGCGGCTCCAGTGTTGTGACCTGCCAGTACCAGCTTCAGACCGGGCCTCTCCGCGGCACTCTGTGCCGCCGCCCGCACCCGACCGCCCGCTGTTTCCGCCGCCTCGACGATCTTTTTCGTCGTCGCTTTGGCCCGGCCCCGGACCTCCCTGACTGGCACAGCCTGCTCCGCCAGGGCGTGCCGATCTTTGAGTTAGACATGGATCAGATAGGTGCTGCTTTGCATGCTTTGTATGCTGACGCTTCTAGTGTTGCTGGATCTTACTACCCTGTGTACTCTAGTTTAGGTGTTTCACCCTTGTGTAGCTTAGCTTCCCCTGCTGCGACAGGCGTAGGACTGCCTAGGTTGCCTAGTCTAGTCGTTGCACCGGCTCCGTCCCCGGCCTCCGCCACTGCGTCGCTGTCCTTCACTCTCGACTCTGGTGCTTCTGCCTGCTTCTTCCGCGACCGTTCCACGCTCACTCCGCTTGCTGCACCTGCTGTTGTCTCTCTCGCTGACCCCTCTGCGGGTCCGGTCGTCGCGCGCAGTTCTACGTCCCTTCCCTGTCCGGCAGTTCCCTCGGGCTCCCTTACTGGCCTCCACGTTCCCTCGTTCTCCAGGAACCTGGTTGGTGTCGGCTGTCTCCAGGACCTCGGCGTCACCACCACGTTCCCCGGGCACGAGCGGTTCGCTGTCTGTTCTGAGGCTGTCTCAGGTTCCCCCCTTGCGACGTTCCCCCGGGACCCGGTGTCCGGTCTGTTTACCCTACACACCGCTTCCCCCCCGGTTGGTGCGTCCTCCCAGGTCGCTGCAGCTTGCTCGTGTCGGTCCCTCACTCACCCCTCCCTTCTCTGGCACCACCGCTTAGGTCACCCTGCTCTCCCGCGTCTGCGTCACATGTCCCAGCATGGTCTTGTCTTAGGTCTCCCCGCGTCGCTCCCTGCCCTTCCTCCCTCGACTGCGCCACCGTGCACGCCTTGCGTCGAGGGTCGGCTCCGCCGTGCTCCTCACTCATCCTCGCTGCGTCCTGCTACTGCCCCCCTTCAGACCCTGCACTTGGACGTTTGGGGCCCTGCCCCCGTCCCCGGACCGCGCGGTGAGCGCTACTTCCTTGTGCTCGTCGACGACTACACGCGCTACACCACGGTGTTTCCCCTGGAGCGGAAGGCCGAAGTGCCCGACGTTCTTCTCCCGTGGGTTGTGGCTGCGCGTCTTCACCGCGGTCTCCCCGTGTTGTGTCTCCACTCCGACCGTGGCGGCGAGTTCGCCTCTGGTCGGCTTGGACAGTTCTGTCGTGCGGAGGGCATCACCCAGTCGTACACGTTGCCGGACTCGCCACAGCAGAATGGGGTTGCTGAGCGCCGCATCGGCTTGGTCATGGAGGTCGCCCGTACCTCCATGATCCATGCCGATGCCCCCCATTTTCTGTGGCCGTTCGCTGTTCGCTACGCGGCTCACCAGCTTAACCTGTGGCCACGCTCCCAGCGGCCGCAGGTTTCGCCGACCCTCCTTTGGACCGGGTCCCCCGGTGACGCGTCTGCGTTCCACGTCTGGGGCTGCCTTGCTCACGTTCGTGCCTCTGGCACGGACAAGCTCACTGCCCGCACTGTCCCCTGTGTCTTCCTCGGTTTCCCCCTGGACTCGTCTGACTGGCTTTTCTACCACCCGCCGTCTCACCGCTTCCTCCACTCTCGTGACGTCACCTTTGACGAGTCCGTCTCCTTCTACCGCCGCTTCCCTCACCGAGGTCTCCCAGTTGCCCCCCCCCTTTTCCTTGCTCCCTCTCCCCCGGTAGCCCCTGCCCCTCTCCCGCCTCGTCCTGCCCCGTCTGGTGTCTCCCACGTCACTCCCCTCCTGTCGGTTGTCCCCGTTGAGGAGTCTGCTGACTCTGGTGGTACCCCCGGTCCGTCCTTGCCGCGTCCCCCTTCCCCGGTGCCTCCGCCCCCACTGTCGCAGTCGCCGACCCCACTGCCGCCGCCGTCGCCGTCGCCGCCGCAGCCGTCGCCGCTGTCGTCGTCGCCGCCGCCGCTGTCGCTGCCGCAGCCGTCGCCGCTGTCGCCGCCGCCGCAGCCGTTGCCGCCACTGCCGCCGCTGCTCTCGGCCCCTGGGGGTGCTGGTGTGGAGGAGGGTGTTCGTCCTGCGGCTTCTGGGGGTGCCGCTGGTGTTGGAGGGGGTTCTCGCTCTGGGGGTGTTGGTTCTGGGGGTGCTGCTGTTGAGTGTTCTGCCGAC